TTTTTCTTTCTCTTCAGCCTACTTACTGCCTTAAAGCTAGCCCCTAATAGAGAAACTAGGTCTGTTAAGTGTTATTTTTCTGCTTTTTCTTTCCTGTCCTCTTTTTTTCCCAGCTGTCTCAACTCAGAACCTTGTAGGAAGAGTTACACTTCTGAAAAAATGTGTTTGCTTTGACATTTAAACAAGGCTCCATTTTGTTTTTCCATACAGAATTTTTCCTCTTCCCCTCTCCCATTTCCAGCACTCTTTCTGACCTGTCTTCTTTTCAGCTCATTCATTATTGCTAAGGTTTGCAGATTATACCAGAGGAAGAAGGCAGATTTAGAAATGTGTTCCTGCCCAGCTGTTTCAAGAGTAGGACTAACATTCGTCTTCTAATTGTATGCCTGCTCTTTATACACAGCTGTGCTTATCTGCCCTTATTAATGAGGTGCCTATCTCTAAGTCTTACCTTGTCTAGAAATAACTAGACTCTATTGCTGTTCAAATTGGTTATACAGTAATCAGAGCAGCCCATCACTGGGAGGAGACATCCATTTGAATTCACTTGTTACTAGCCAGAGAGAATTTTGCCTGATAGCCTTCTTAGGTTTGTCATGTCCAGTAAGATGCCAGGGCCCTAGAAAAGGATAGATGGGATAGGAGTCCTGTCCTTTCCCCTCTGGATCTCCCCCCGCCCCCAGACCCCCCTGCAATTCTGTATGTGTTTTTTTACCTAAGATGAAGATAAAGGGACATTTTGAGGAAATTGTGTAAAAAGAATCAGAATCCACTAGAGATAGCTGTGTAATGCCTTAAAGATCTGACCCCTAATAAATAAAGACTTTTGGTAAATTACTTAACCTTTCTTGTCTTTTATTTCCTGATTTGTCAAGTAGCTTTAACAATCCTTATATGGCAGGAATGTTGGGAGGACTAAGCTTTTTCTTGACATGCCCTGTTCAAAAAGTGACCTAAAGCTGTAAATATTTGATAAGCTAATAAGTATGAAAACACCTAGCACATAATAGATGTTCAGTAAATGCTTAAATTGGAATCTAATAGACTAAACCAAAATTCTTTCCTACCCTAGTTTTATTACATTGAGACTTTCTAGTAGGATAATCCTTTCCCCCAACCCCACCCCCGCCCAGCTTCCTTCTCTGGTCTGGTTTTATGACACAGCATCCTAAAATCTGATCCCAAAGAGAACAGAGGCTAAATAAGGTCTTATTTAAAGGCATGCCCAAAAGTTGAGGGCCCAATTCCTGACACTCCATGATTTTGTCTGAGCACTTCCTTTATATTGACATATTAAAATCCTACTATGGGCTAGTTATTTAATTTAAATTCTTATTTATTTGTTTTATTTCTATAGTATTGATTAAAAATTTGAGACTCATAGAGTTTAAGTGTCTTTTCCAAGGTTACCCTATAGCAGAGCAAGGATTTGGACTAAGGTTGTCTAACTGCAAGTCCAGTGATCTTTAGACAGCATTCTACATTAAAGTAAGAAAATGAATATAAGTGAGTTACTACAGATAGGCCTAGGAATGGGGTGATGAATCAAATAGTATTATGTGAGTATATGACCAAGACAAAGGGCTAATTCAGAGTCCCAGACTTATTCTGTGGATACATTGAAAATATGCCTTGGGACTTCCAATCAAAGTGACTGTGTTCAAACTTTTGACACATCCCCTCTGGTCCAAACACACAGCAAGGAGTAAAATATATGAAGTGAAAATCAGAGAACATATTTGGGCTCAAAAACAAAATAACTGTCTCCAGGCATCAAAAATAGGAGAGATGTAAGTCACTGAGGCCGAAGCTGTGGGCCTGCTAACCTCCAGGTCTAGGAACAGAGATTGGTACCTGAGAGATGAATTTCTGAGCAATAACTGGATACTGAAAATGCCCCCTAAAGAGATAGAACTTGAGGCCAGGGGAGTGAAATGCCAACCCCCAACCAGCCTCATGAAAGGAGGCTTTAAACAGTTAATTGAGTTGGGGAGGAAGCAAGCCTAAGGAGCTGTGAAGAAGTTCATCAAGCTGCCTGCTGGTTCAGTGATTAGAACTATGATATCCTAAATTTCTTCTAATGGCCATTTGAAGACCTGTTCAGACTAGATCCTTAGGAGACTAAATGGAACCAACTGCAAAAGTATGAAACAGAGAAGGGGGAAATCAGTAATGAAAACATCTCTCTCAGAAGGAGCCTTCAAACCAAAATTTTGTATAATAGAAATCTACCACTAAGAAAAATAACCAGTGTGGTTCAGTTGGTTGGGCATCGTTCTGCAAAGCCAAAGGTCACAGGTTGGATTGCCAGGCAGAGCACATGCCTAAGTTGGAGGTTTGGTCCTGGTCGGGCTCCTCAATGTTTTTCTCACCTCTTCACCTCCTCAGTGTTCTCACCTCCTCATGTTTTTCTCCCTCCCTTTCTCCCCTTCATTCCCCTCTCTCTTAAAAAAATTAAAATAAAAATAACCAATAAAATTTAACTAGGTCTTCCACTTTGGGAAAGATGAAGTAGAAATAAACAAAGGCAGAGCAGCCCTAGCTGGTGTGGCTCAGTGGTTTGAGCACTGGCCTGTGAACCAAAGGGTTGCTGGTTCAATTCCTAGTCAGAGCCCATACCTGGGTTGCAGGCCAGGTATCCGATAGGTTGGAGATATCTCTCCCTCTATCCCTCCCTTCCCATAATGGTAGTGAGTTCCATGGGTATTCTTTTCACCTCATATATCCCAGACATGGAGTTGAACATTATATTTAAGCGTGAAAAACTGAATACTTCCCCCTTAAGAGCAGGAACAAGGAAAGGATACCAGTTTTCACTATTATTTAACATAGTGCTGTAAGGTCTAGCTGTTGCAATAACACATGTGCGCGTGCGCGCACACACACACGGAAATAATAGGCGTACAAATCAGAAAGGAAGAAGTACAACTGTACTTATTTGCACATTACGTGATTATCTACATAGAAAATCCCAATGACTATTAAATAAAAAACTCCTAGAACTAAAAAGTGAGTTTAGCTAGGCCATAGAATATAAGATAAACAAAACCAATTGTATGTCTACTATACACTAGCTATGATAACACATGGGCACTGAATTTTAAAATATTCCATTTACAGTAGCTCAAAATAATTAAATACTTAGGAGTAAATTTATTTTTTAAATCCTCACCCAAGGACATATTCACTGGTTTTAGGGTGGGGATAGATAGACATCACTGTTAGAGAAAAACATCAGTTGGTTGCTTCCATATGCTCCCTGGCCAGGGATTGAACCCAAAACCCAAGTACGTGTGCCCTGACTGGGAATCAAATCTGCAACCTTTTGGTGTACAGGACAATGCTCCAACCAACTGAGCCACCCAGCCAAGCGCAGGAGTAAATTTTTTTATTTTTACTTACTAATTTTAAAGAGAGGTAGGAACAGGGGTGGGGGGAAACAGAGAGAGACATTGATTTGTTGTTCCACTTATTTATGTACTTATTGGTTGCTTCTTGTATGTGCCCTGACCGGGGATCTAACTCACAATCTTGGCACATCAGGACGATTCTCTAACCAACTGAGCTACCTGGTCAGGGCTACTCAGGAGTAGATTTGACAAAACATATAAGATTTGTATGCTGAAACTACACAGTGCTGGTGGAAGGAATCAAAGAAGATCTAAATAAATAGGGAGCACATAATAGTGATGTCAGTTTTTCCCAAATTGATATTATATAGGTTAATGCGATTTCTGTCAAAATTCCAGCAAGGTATTTTGTATATATAGATAAGATTATTCTAAAATTTCTTTGTCAAGGCCAAAGGAACTAAAATAGCTAAAACAGTTTTGAAAAAGAATAAAGTGAGAAGAATCAGATTATTATATAGCCACAGTAACCGGTGAGACTGTGATATTGGCAGAGGGATAGACACGGAAACCAAGCAATGGAACAGAGCGGAGAACCCAGAAATAGACACAATGATACACCCAACTGATTTTGGCAAAGGTGCAAAAGCAATTCTTGGGATGAAAGGTAGCTTTTTCGACAAGTGGTTTTGGAATAAATGGACATCATAGGCAAAACAACAACAACAACAACAAAAATGAATCTCATACAAAAATCAACTCCAAATGAATCAAGAACGAAAACAGAAAACTGTAAGACTTTTAGGAAAAAATCCTAAAAGAAAATCAGTGGGCAAAGAGTTCAGACTTGACACCAACATGATTCAGAAATGGCCAAAAACCTTATAAATCATTGAGTGGTGGGTACATGAGATATTTTTAGGTTATTCTTTGTATTTTTTTATTTTTTAAGTTTTTTATTTATTTATTTTTTGGAGGGTGGGAAAGGGAGGGAGAAAAATAGGGAGAGAAACATCAATGTGTGGATGCCTCTTGCATGTCCTGCCACTGGGGGCCCAGCCCACAGCCCAGGCGTGTGTCCCCATCAGGAATCAAACCAGTGACCCTTCAGTTCACAGGCCGATATTCAATCCACTGAGCCACACCACACCAGCCAGGGCTGTATTTTTTTAATACATTTGAAATACACAATTTTTTTAAGGATATGTGTTTTTGTTTTTTATTGATTTGAGAGAGAGAGAAAGAGGGAGAGAGAAAAAAACATCAGTTTGTTGTTTCACTTCTTAATGCATTCATTGGTTGCTTCCTATTTGTGCCCTTACTGGGGATTGAACCCGCAACGTTGGTGTATTGGGATGATGCTCTAATCAACTGAGTTACCCCCCAGAACATGCATAATTCTTTAAAATTATAAAAATATACTTTAACTGAACCACAAAGTCTTTGCCACTATTGCCCATGCTAGGGGCCTTGGTGGTTTTGTAGGCAGTTCCCATAGAACTATTCCAGCCCAATTCTGTTTGTCCCATTGGGACTCATAGCGCCCCTAAACCCTCCTAAAGGAGCCAGAATGCTACTCAAATGGAAAATACTCTTCTCAGTGGCCAAAAGGGTTTCTCTTGTCTATATCTGAGTCTTCTTGTCTTTCAGGTATGTTGGTGGTAAATGTAACATGGAGGAACAAGACATATGTAGGTACACTTCTTGACTGCACACGGCATGATTGGGCACCCCCCAGGTAAGCACTTGCAGCTTTTTAGTTTATGTTAGTCTCAGCCATCCTAATCAGCGATCCCTTTACCTTCATCCTGCTAGGGTTGGATAGTTTTTAAAAGACACCCAGCTTTGGGTTGTACACCTGAAACTAATATAATATTGTACATCAACTGTAATTGAAAAATAAAAATGACCTATTTAAAAAAGGAGGAATTTTAAAAATTAACAGCATCTCATAATGGTAATTTTCACCTTACATATCATAGATGTGTTTATATAAAATAAAAGTACTTGCCATACGGGGGGGAAAAAGACACCCAGCTTTTAAAGAACGTTACGGTATTGAGATAAGGGGAGGCACCATATTCATCTGGCATTTAAGAAAAATAAATGAATTACGTATTGATAAGTTGGGTAGAAACAGGGAGGAGGTCCTATTTAAACCTTTGTCTGGATTTATTGACTTCTGACTGATACCCATAGTCACCTTGAGACCAAAGCCATAGAGTCTGATTCCTGGTGAAGAAACTTTCATTGATGATCCTTTTTGATGGTAGCTGTCTCCTAGAAGTTTAAACTCAAGAATATTTCAGTTTTTTAAACTCTACTAAGGTTTCACAAGGATGTTTGCAAATTGCAATTTGATCTTAAGATTGACATTTGAGTGAATGGCACCTTAGAGCTTATTCCTAATATTAGTTTGCAGTTTACCAGGTTTTGTGGAACCCAAATGTTGGGAAGTAATTCACAGCTAGTATGCTGGTAGCATTCTAGGGGCTCACCACTTAGAGTTCCCACTCTTCCCGAAGTTCCTTTAACAAATCATATTCATTGAAAATGATAGTTACCATCTGGACAGTTCTAAAGACTGCAGCTAAACTGGTTTAAAGATGTTTTCTCCTTATAATAATATCCTGTTGTGTGTCCTTTGCCAAGGTTCTGTGACTCCCCCACCAGTGACTTGGAAATGCGAAACGGTCGGGGTAGAGGCAAACGCATGCGTCCCAACAGTAACACACCTGTCAATGAGACAGCCACAGCCTCTGACAACAAAGGGACCAGCAGCAGCAGCAAAACCCGAGCAGGAGCCAATAGCAAAGGCCGTCGGGGCAGCCAGAATTCTTCAGAGCATCGCCCACCTGCCAGTAGCACCTCTGAGGATGTCAAGGCCAGCCCTTCCTCAGTGAATAAGCGGAAAAACAAACCCCTTTCAGACATGGAGCTGAATTCTAGCTCAGAGGACTCCAAAGGGAGCAAACGTGTCCGTACGAATTCCATGGGCTCAGCCACTGGCCCACTCCCTGGGACCAAAGTGGAAACCACTGTTCTAGACAGAAATTGTCCCTCTCCAGTCCTGATTGACTGTCCCCACCCGAACTGCAACAAAAAGTACAAGCACATCAATGGACTTAAGTACCATCAAGCTCATGCCCATACAGATGATGACAGCAAGCCAGAAGCAGATGGGGACAGCGAGTACGGAGAGGAGCCCGCCCTCCATGCAGACCTCGGGGGCTGCAATGGTGCATCTGTCTCCCAGAAAGGTTCCTTGTCCCCTGCCCGCTCAGCTACCCCCAAAGTTCGACTCGTAGAGCCCCATAGCCCTTCTCCTTCAAGCAAATTCAGCACAAAAGGCCTCTGTAAGAAAAAGCTGGGTGGGGAAGGGGAAACGGACCTCGGAGCATTATCCAATGATGGCTCCGATGATGGACCCTCAGTAATGGATGAAACAAGCAATGATGCCTTTGATTCTTTGGAACGGAAGTGTATAGAGAAAGAGAAATGTAAAAAACCCTCTAGTTTGAAACCTGAAAAGATGCCTTCCAAGAGCTTAAAGTCAGCCCGGCCCATTGCCCCGGCCATCCCCCCACAACAAATCTACACCTTCCAGACAGCCACCTTCACAGCAGCCAGCCCGGGCTCCTCCTCAGGCTTGACCACCACAGTGGTCCAAGCCATGCCCAACAGCCCCCAACTCAAGCCCATTCAGCCCAAGCCCACTGTGATGGGAGAGCCTTTCACAATCAACCCTGCCTTGACTCCAGCCAAGGACAAGAAAAAGAAAGACAAAAAAAAGAAGGAGTCTTCCAAGGAACTTGAAAATCCTCTGACTCCTGGGAAGGTGTGTCGAGCAGAAGAAGGCAAAAGTCCATTCAGGGAATCCTCAGGAGATGGGATGAAAATGGAGGGGCTCCTAAATGGCTCATCAGACCCCCACCAAAGCCGACTGGCTAGCATCAAGGCTGAAGCCGATAAGATCTACAGCTTCACGGACAATGCTCCCAGCCCATCCATTGGAGGCGGTAGCCGCCTAGATAGCACCACCCCTACCCAGCCTATGACTCCCTTACATGTAGTGACGCAGAATGGAGCTGAAGCCAGCTCCGTCAAAACCAACAGCCCTGCCTACTCCGACATCTCTGATGCTGGGGAGGACGGGGAGGGCAAAGTGGACAGTGTCAAATCCAAGGATCCTGAACAGTTGGTTAAAGAAGGGGCTAAGAAAACTCTTTTCCCCCCTCAGCCACAGAGCAAAGACTCGCCGTATTACCAAGGCTTTGAGAGCTACTACTCTCCAAATTATGCACAGTCCAGCCCAGGGGCGCTGAACCCCAGCAGCCAGGCAGGAGTGGAAAGCCAGACCCTGAAGGCAAAAAAGGATGAGGAGCCTGAGAGCATAGAGGGGAAAGTGAAGAACGATGTCTGTGAGGAAAAGAAGCCAGAGATGAGCAGTTCCAGTCAGCAGCCCTCAGTCATCCAGCAACGTCCCAATATGTACATGCAGTCCCTGTACTACAACCAGTATGCCTATGTGCCCCCCTATGGCTACAGCGACCAGAGTTACCACACCCACCTCCTAAGCACTAACACAGCTTACCGGCAGCAGTATGAGGAACAGCAGAAGCGGCAGAGCTTGGAGCAGCAGCAGCGGGGACTGGACAAGAAGGCAGAGATGGGCCTGAAGGAGCGGGAGGCAGCGCTCAAGGAAGAATGGAAGCAAAAGCCGTCAATTCCACCAACTCTCACCAAGGCCCCCAGCCTGACAGACCTGGTGAAGTCAGGACCCGGCAAGGCCAAGGAGCCGGGGGCTGACCCTGCCAAATCAGTCATTATTCCCAAGTTAGATGACCCTTCCAAACTCCCCAGCCAGGCCCCAGAAACACTTAAAGTGAAGCTGAGTGAGGCCAGCCACCTAGGCAAGGAGGCTTCTGAGGCTAAGACAGGAGCCGAGTGTGGCCGCCAGGCAGAGGTGGATCCGATCCTCTGGTACCGACAGGTAACTGCTCTGGGAAGAAATAGAAATGCTATCGGATCGTCTTTCTCTTTTCCTCACAATTAAGGTGGTCCTGATGTAGGAGGTCAACAGAATACAGATTAGCAGGAGAAATCTATAGTTATAGGGACTTTTTTATCTTTGTAGATGATTTTGGTGGTTTTTAAAGAGCACTTTTACATCTGTAACAGCTGTCTTCTCATATGACAAAAGAGGCCCAAGGACCTCAGCTTGATCTGCCCGGGGTTACAGGACTCTACTAGCAGAGCCAAAACGGGAACCTGGGTATCTTGATTCCTAGTCCAGTATTTCTTCCACTCTTTGGTTCCTAGGGAATGAGCTAATGGTGATCTGTCCATATGTTAGATTGGACCAGAAGTACACTACTCAGACCAAGTTACTTTCAAAAAGATTTTGTAGGAAGAGTTAGAACCAAGAACTTGCCATCACGTCTTGCTCTGCTCAAGAGACTTAGAAAGTCTTCCCTTCCCTCTTGGTGCCACAGTTAGACCTTCCACCTCTGAGCTTGCCCTAGAGAAGTGAAACCACCTGAATATCCTTGGAAGGGGAGCAGACTCTTCTGTTCAAAGAGTCATTTCCCCAGAGTGCTTGTTCTGTCTTAGAGACCAACTGATGGATTTTCCTTTTCTTTCCCCACATCTTGTTTCCCTTTGGTCAGGGAAGGACCAGAGTTCCTTATAAATGAAAAGTAGAGGCCACGATCATGCTCTGCCCGAGGTGTCTGGTATTATCTGCTTTGGTGTTTCTGCTGGGACCCTGGGCTTAAATCTTTCCCTTCTTCCTCCCTTCCCCCTCTCTCTTTTGTGCAACACACGGTGCTTATTCTGTGATTGTTGTAGGAAGCAGAGCCCCGGATGTGGACGTATGTTTATCCTGCCAAGTATTCAGACATCAAGTCAGAAGATGAGCGGTGGAAAGAGGAGCGGGACCGCAAATTGAAGGAGGAAAGGAGTCGGAGTAAGGACTCTGTCCCCAAGGAGGATGGGAAGGAAAGCACAACTAGTGACTGCAAGCTGCCCACGTCTGAGGAATCCCGCCTTGGGAGCAAGGAGCCCCGACCAAGTGTCCATGTGCCTGTGTCCTCCCCCCTCACCCAGCACCAGTCCTATATCCCCTACATGCACGGCTACTCCTACAGCCAGTCCTATGACCCCAACCACCCCAGCTACCGGGGCATGCCTGCGGTGATGATGCAGAACTACCCAGGTACAGCACCCCCTTCCAGCTGGTGTCCCATTAACCGAGACGGGAAATGAAGCAGAGATCGCAAACCCAGTGTTCTAGCTTAGTCCTGACACTTTTGGAGGTTCAGGTTGATGATAGCCCTTTTTTGAATGTGACATTCTATGAAGTGGCCACTCTAAACCCAAACTCCTTGAATGACCGCTAATTACAATCTGTGGGACCTCTTCTCCCTCCCTTGCTCCAGCTAGAGGGTTGCCTCTGCAGTCATTTTTAGTGAGTAATTAAAGGTAAAACTCACTCTTTACCACTGCCATTTTCTCCGCTGGGATTTTTTTAACACATATTCTACATTTTGCAATGTACTCAGCACTGCGGAGAATACAAAAGAAATAGGGAAGACTGTTCCTCTCCTCAGGGTGCTTACAACTTCATTGTAGCAGGAGAGACGGGTGGAACAATAACATTCAAACAGGACAATGCATGTGTTCATTGGCAAGATCACGTTGGGCTGTAAGGTTGGAGCGCAGCAGCAGGGAGCAGTTGGAAATCAGGTTGTGGGGCAGTCCAGCTAGAAAAGGTTCAGCTTGGGAGAGACAAGCTTTTTATACTACCATCTATGAATTCTTGGGAAGGGGGACACAAAGTAGGAGTTAGTGTTTCTTAACTTGTTAGAAGAAGATCTTATTCAACTCTACTCACTGATTTCTGTTGCTTGAAGAGCCATGTGTGAGGCTTCTGGGGGAGGGGGGAGAGAATTTCAGTCTTTAAAGCTGCCACCTCCCTACAGAAGAACAGCCTAAATAATCTTGATATTCTGGCATAACATTATAAGGCAAACTCTAGGACAAGTAGGCTTTGAAACAAACAGGAAGTTGTCTCACCCTATGGTATTCCTTTCTCCTGTTACCCCTATTTATCTATGTAAAAATAATAGTTCCATTCGATGAGTGCCCGCCCTGGCTGGGCACTGTGCTAGGCATTTATGGACATTATCTTATTTAATCCTCCCTGTCACCCTGTGAAGTAAGTTTTGGTACCTTCCTTTTGGTGGTAAGGAAACTGAAGCTCAGAAAGGTGGTTAATTTGCTTGAGGCTACCCAACTTGTAAGTCTTAACAGTAGGATTTGAGCCCAAGGCCGTCTGCCTCCATTTCTTATGACCTCTCCACTCATGACCCCCTCTCCAAGGTGAATCTTTGAGCCTGGGACTCTAGGGAAGCTGATTCCCAGAGACTGAGGGTCACCTTCCTATAATATCCCTAAGCTAGTTTTGCCTCTAGAGCTCAGCAAAGGACAAGCTACTAGTCTCAGCCCAGACACCTGTGTAGAAACTATCCCGTGCCTACGGAAGCTGATGCCCTCCTATCCACAGCCACTAAAGCAGTTTCTTTGACCTCTCCCATCTCTTTGACTGATTTGTTTCTCCTTTCCCAGGTTCCTACCTGCCTTCTAGCTACTCTTTCTCCCCATATGGCAGCAAGGTCTCAGGGGGTGAAGATGCTGACAAGGCACGAGCCAGCCCCAGTGTCGGTTGTAAATCCAGCTCAGAGTCCAAAGCCCTGGACATCTTGCAGCAGCATGCCAGCCACTACAAGAGCAAGTCTCCCACGGTAAGGGAAGCGCAGTTACACTGGCTGTTCGCAAACACCAGTAGGGCCAGAATCAGGGCCTGCCAGAAGGTGGGCCAGTTCAGGTCCTAACCACAGTACAGTTTGGCTGACTTGACCTTGGCTCCCCCAGGCATCGCCTTGATTCTTAGGGGCCCTGCATGTTTAAGGGGCCGTGATTTGGGCCATGGATATCTTGCTCTCATGTGTGTGTCTCTCAGTAGTGCTTTTGTATCTGCCTTCTTTTCCAGATCAGTGATAAAACTCCTCAGGAGAGAGATCGGGGAGGCTGTGGGGTGGTTGGGGGTGGTGGCAGCTGTAGCAGCATCGGGGGAGCAGGCGCCAGTGAAAGGGGCGTAGACCGGCCCCGCACCTCCCCGTCCCAGCGCCTGATGTCCACACACCACCACCACCACCACTTGGGGTACTCACTGCTCCCAGCACAGTACAACTTACCCTATGCAGCAGGTAAGCCTTGTTTCCCACTGCCTGTCTCTTTAACTCCATCCCAATAGCATTGCCCACAGCAGGAGGCCCCTATCAAGTTTTTGGGATTTTTTGTTTGTTTGAGCTTCTAATCTGTCAGCATCCTAGCCTCCTGCAGACCATCATTAAAGCACATGACATTTATTTCCTCCCTTGGAGCTTGGGGATTCTCAAACTCCTCCAGAAAATTGGCTTTCATATTCAGAAGAATAAGGAACAGGTGTTCTCACAGTCAAAGAGAAACAAAGCTGAAAAATGGAGCCCTCCTGTCTATGCCCAGCAACTATATCTGACCAAGTACCATATTTTTTCATGTCAGTGCCCCAAAATTCAGTGAAGTTAGGAATTTAAGGAGAAACTCCTCCCAGTCCCCACCCAGCTGGTAAAGACGAAGTGCTTAACTCAAAGGTTCCTAGAGTGCTACCCTAACCTGTCTTCCTACTCACACAGGGCTTTCTTCTACAGCCATTGTTGCCAGCCAGCAAGGCTCAACTCCCTCACTCTACCCACCCCCCCGGAGGTGAGAATGGTAAGTAATTTTGTAATTTGGGGCAACACATAGAGTAGGGAGAGTTGATACTTGGATCACAGAGGATCTGTGGAGCCTGGGTGAGGGACAGCTGTGTGGGGTCAGCCATCTGGAAATGGTGGAACCTGGGCCAAGCCTCCTCCTGTGCAAGTCCCCCATGAAGCCACGTGCATCTGAGAGGAGCTGGGGAATACCTGTCCTCTAGGGGGACCCGTAGCGGCCTCCCCTACAGTTCATTTTCTTGGAGCGCCACCTTGTGGTTGTTATGCCAGCCGGCTGAGTGCCCGGTTATCTGTCATGTTTCCCTTGCAGAACACCAAGTGCCCGGATAAAGTCAGCTTCACGGGCCGGAACTGGCTCACCCAAGGAGGTGATGGAGGTGCCATTTAGACATCAGTTAAATGGTGTTGATCATCCTGTTTGCCGTGTTCCCACCATGACCGAAGGCAGACCCTTGGCTATCTCGCCTCCGCCAGGCCCCCGGACTCCCCCCACCCTCCCTCTTCCTCAGGAGCTGGAGAGCTGGTACCTAGCAAAAATATTTATTCTCTCGGCCACAGTCATGACTATTGCGGCCTTTGTGGAGATGAAGGCATGGGGAGCAACCAGGGGAATGCGGCCTCAGCCCAGAGAAGTCGCTGCTCTGTTCCCCAAACCCGAGTCACCTGCCGGAGGAGTACCAACCCCCGCAGGGAGGGCCCCTCCCCCCCAGGCACTGGGTAAGGTCTGAAGACAGCACAGCAGCCATACCCCGTTCACCATCATGACCACCACAACCAGACCCTGCATCTCCCCAGCGGTTTGGGCCCTGGGAATTGGCAGCACGTGGAGGAATGAGAATCTCAGGAAAGAAATTGGGGGCTGTTTTCTCTATAATTGTGAAAACAAGGTCTTCAAACATGAAGGCTTTCCCCCTCTCACATGAGCACATATAAATGCTCAGAGCCCAGCCTGGAAAGGAAGAACAAGATGTTTGCCCCACCAAGGCCTCGGGCTGCCTGTCAGGCAGAGGGCCGGGGTCCCACCCCAGCACAGGGCTCCCCAGGGATACTGGGAGGGAGCTGGAGCTGGAGCATGAATGGAGTCTGTGAAATAGAACCTGCATCCCCACTAAGTCCTGCTGCTTCTTAGCCAACACCTTGCCCTTTTTTCTCTTCCCCCCTGACCCCTTGGTGCCTTTCCCAGGGGGATCCCCACACTGATCTCTCCTCTTCTTTTCCACTGCTTGGTTCTTAAGACTCAGGCAGGTAAAATAGTTTTCCCCAGCTGGGTAGCTTTGGAGTCTGCCAGGTCACCTGAGCGCAAGCCCAGGAGGTAGTTCTTAAGAGATGTCCTGTCCATTCAGCCATCTGAGTGTCCTTCTCATTTAGGGCCACAAACCTACACAGCCCAGTTCCTCTGTATACAGTACATGATTTTATATAAGCTCGATCTATAACCCCGTGTGTGCCAATATGAGCCTTGTTTCTTGTAACACAGATTTTTTTTGTTTTAGGAGCCACTGACCATGGGAGGTTATTTGTTCCTTAGACCCTGGGATGACACATCCAAGCCGTTACTCCTCTGAGCCACAGCGTGTACTCAGTGGGAGCTGTGCTTTGAGGCAGCAGACATTTCTCTGCTCTCCTTAGAAATGCAGGCTCCCGGCCCAAGCCCTATGCTCTTTATACTGGGAATGGACGATGATTTGGTAGCTTTATTGGAGTCACTTCTTCCCCAAGGTGTGGGGAGCTTTAGCTCTTACTTTGCTTTTGAGGTATCATCCCTTTGTTCTCCTCCTCTCCTGTCCTTGACCTTCTGGATTGAGAGAAAGATAAAGACTGACAGACACCAGCCTATGCTACAGAGAGGTATTTGTGACCAGAGTGCCAAAAGTGACCGTTAAAAGCAGGGTCTTGGCTCTGACAGTGTGGAAGTCACAGTGTGGGGCGCGGAAGTGGAGGGCAGTGAGCACAATGCCTGGCAGAGGCTGCTTTCCACGATACCCAGAGCTCTTCTCCAGGGAGGCGTAGGGTCATTTGCCCAAGAGGAACCCCCCCAGACCTGTAGACCTTTCCTCTAGGTTTTATGTTCTTGTTCAAGTTGGGTTCTGAGCCCACCCTCAGACTCACTGTTCAGGCCTCTTAGCAGGCCCCAAGCAGCCTCCCCTCTCCCTGCATCTGCAGTCGTAGTCGGTGTGGACACCTCGCCCCACTTCGTCTGAGTCTCCTCCACCAAGAGGATGACTCTGAATTTCAGCCTGAGTATGCCCTCCCACACTGCTGTGGGGTGAAGCCAAGGGCCTGTCTCTTTTCCTGTTTGTTTTTTAAGTATCGTTGTGTTTTGTATCTGTGGCGCTGGCTTACAGCGTGCTCTGTACATATTGTAAAGAAATCGTTTGGAGTAATTTTTTCCCGTTGGGTGGGTATGGTCTGCATTCCTGCCCTTTCCACTTTGTTCTATAACACAGAGACGAGGAAATTCCATATTAGCAGGGCAGCCTTGGGTTCTACAGAAGGGAACAGTGTTTTCTTTTTTTTTCCTCCCTTAAAAAACATTTGGCTCTTGGATCCTGCCCAGAAGAGCAGGTAAAAGCCAATAATGGCAGGATGGCACTGCCTTTTCCTGATCCCTGCCAGGTCCAATCTCCCTTCCCTGAAACAGCACGAAGCAGCAGCAGCAGCAATGGAGGAAAACAGATCCCTGCCACGTGCTGCGTGAAGGATTTACTGTCCCCTTCCAGCTTCTCTCCATGGGGAAGAGGAACACAGGTGATGGTACCTGTGGCACCCAAGACCTGGTCAGAGGGCAGAGACACGCAGCAAGGATTTCCACTCCACCCCACCCCACGAGCAAAGGCTAGGAAAGCTTGCTGCTAAGGCCCCCGATCACCAGACCAAGGCTCCCTAGGAGCCGTCCCTGCCCAGGCCTCTGCTGGGCACCACTCATCGGGCTCTCCCCAGCGTAGCCGGAGGGAGAGCGCCCCATCCCCAGGTAGGACAGCCAAGGCTCAGAGCTGCTGCTCAGGATGCACATCCTCTTCTTCCCCACTTAGGCATGTCCCTACCCTTCATCCCCCCTTTTCCTATCTGTACATGTATGTGTACATGTATGAAATTTCCTTGTTATCTCACCCTCTCCACACATCTCAAGGTCAAAGGACCACATGCGGAAGGGGTAGGAGGGCACACCCCATGAAATGAAGTGGTGATTCTTGAATCTCTTCTCTCCAGGCTCCAAGGTGGGGGTGAGGTGACTTGGCCTCAGCAGTGGGAGGGTGAGGCTGCAGAAGGGCTAAGAGTCGTATACAGGCTCTGAGGTCACCCATGTCAGTAATTGTCCCATATACCCTATTATCACCCTCCCAATGTCTGATGCTCCCAAGATTCCACTGGGCAGCTAGCTGGCCCCATAATTCTGGGCCTTTGTTATTTGTTTTATTACTAGGGCATCCCAGGAAGCTTTCTGATGATCCTCTGCCACGGGCCCCTCCTGGGATCGAGCCCCTCCCAAGCCCCATCCCAGCCCCTCCGGCCCCAGCCCACCCGCTTGCCTTGGTGCTCAGCCCCCCTTAGGGAGCAGGTTGGGGCAAGCTGGAGGCCCGGGCTGGAGGGGCAGTGTTGCTGTTCATAGCTTTTGTTCCATTGGCGTTGCTTTGTTGGATTTAATTTCAGTCTTCCTGATTCTTCCCTTCTGTAAAGTGTACATTACCAAGTTCCTTGTTTTTTTATATATATATATAAATATATATATATACAAACTGTACTCTTTTTGCCTTTGTACATTCAGGCAAGAAGAGAAAAATAAATCTTTTTAAGAGACAATCACAAATCTGTGAGGGCTGCTGGTTATTTCTCCTGGAGTTTGCTGCTGAGCTGCCACCTCCTCCCTCCCCACTTTCCCGTTCTCTCAGCTTTCCCCATCTTCCTTGGTCCTGCTCCGTGCGCATCCTCGGCTCCACCTTCCCTGGCTGATGGCAGGCTGTTGAATCCAGTGTCCAGACTACCTGCCCTGCAGTCCTTCCCTGCCCAGCAGTGCTTTCCAGCTTGGCCGCTGGCTTCCCAGGAGCTTGAACCTGTGTCCTGGCCTCTCCTCCTTCCCCTTAGATCCCATTCACCAAAGTGGCTTTGGACCCCTGGGTACTCTGGCACCTCCCAGAGACCCTGGTTTTGGACATCCACCTGTAAATCTATGCAGCTAGCTTTCTGCCTGAGGGTTTGCACTATTTCAACCTGCCTGGGAGGTAGAACAGATGGTTTTCTAGAAAACGAGTGGGAAACTCCCCCTAGATTTCCAGCCTCCAGAGTGCTCTGACCCAGAGACCAGAGAATCATCCCTGGCTGGTGGGCTCCTATGGCTGTCCCATCAGAACACGCGCTGAGGGTTTATGGGTCAAGAGCATTTGATCAGAATTTCAAAGGGTGGTACATACTGAAACAGCCCAACCAAATCATTGTCCCACCTCTTGAACTTTATCCTTTCCCTGATTTTCTCCTCCCCCTTTCTCACTATTCCCTTTTCTTAATTGGCTCTGGAACTGAAGTATTTTTTTAAATTATTTGTTGTATTTATTGAATAAAGTTTTTAATGTCCCTGTTCTTAAAATTAGACTTAGTTTGCCTTTCACATTTCCACTCTCCCACTCCATCATCCCCCCAAAATATTCTACCTTGCAAGTTGCTTTTTTAATTCGAGTGCAGATTTTGGATACCTACCGTGTTTCTTTGCTGTCAGTGGTCTTCTCTAGCAAAGGCTTTGCTTTTGGAAAGGGAAATCTTACCTGGGTTTCCAATTGACCTAATTTTGGCTCTATTAAAGAGAGTGCACCAGTAGGTGGCAGCAGAATCTCAGGCGTGCTTCCTGTCCACTCTGCTAGCTTTGGGGACAATAAAGAACTGAGTTTTGTCTTGGTTCTTCAAATGTCTTGTAAGTTCCTTGGGTTTGAGTTTAACATCTGAAATCTAAACTGCCTACATTAACTTGGCCATTGTGAGCATTCACATGGATATGCTATAAAGGTCATGTTTTTCAGTCACTGCTTTTATGCTGCCCCTAGGGGTTACCTGCTCAGTGGAGGACACCTTCAGGCCCTTCTTATTTCAACTCCTAATGTCTCTAGGCCCAGACCTTCTACTAATACTGTGGAGGGGCCACGGTGCTGCGCTCAGTTCTTGTAATGAATACCAGGTAGGTTCCAAGGTTAATGGCTTAGCCAGTATGAAAACACAAATAAGTTCCAGAAAGAACAATGTGAAAATGGGCCAAAGACAGAAAAAGTAAAAAGAACGACAGTGAATAGTTCCAAAGCTACAGGAGGTAGAAGAGCAGGCCCAGCACTTCACTTAGAAAAATTGAAAAGGACAGAAATGCTAATGAGCCCTTGAGGAATTAAATTAAGAGACCACACGTGACGTGGATCCTAACCCCCTCCAGCGACACTGAGAGCTTACTCAGGCTGGTGGTGTATGGGGAATGGCAGCCCTGCCGCAGGCACAGGCTCTGGAAGCAGAAAACGATCTTCCTAAGGTGAGTGTGTGCGCTGCTTCCTTCAGACATCTCCAGGAATGTCTGCTGCATGCGAAAGCCAGAACCCCGAGTCAGGACCCAGCCTTTTATACAGAAGACCTAAGAATGACTTGGCTCCTGGATATACAGCCTCTATTCTGGATGCAGCTGCTGTGTACACAACGGACTCTCTAGGGACTTCTGTCAGTGTGCCCCAGACTCCTAGCAACCCCACACTGCTGTGTAATGTGGCCCCAGAGACCTCAACCAGTTTATCTGTCCTGCTGCACTGCAGCTTTTTTCCTGAGAAGCATGCATCACACCCCCACTAGGTCAGGCTCTAGATTCAAAAGACAGGAGTGGTAGGAAGCTGGTCTTGGAACAGGAATAAAGAACAGACCAACCACAACTTTAAATCAGTTTATTGACACAGAAACACAACACACTTGCCTCCCTGACACCCCCACCCCCCTCACCCAGACTAGATCTTCCCGCTTCCTCCCCACTTAGAACAAGCTGTTCCTTGAAAACAGAAAAGGGCAGGCCACTTCTATAGCCCCAGCCCCACCTCTAGGCCCTGTGAAGCCGGGTCTCGGGCACTATTCAGAGCCTGTCAGAGGGGTGGGGGCAGGGGTGTGCCGTTAGCACTCTACGCAGCCAGGCAGCGGCATCCAGTTCTTAGAATTCCCCCCTCAAGCTTCAGGCCCTGAGTCGATATTCCTCTTCCTTTCTGCTCTGTGACACTAGGAAGGAGACATGCTGGGGCCTGGGCCTGTAGCCAGGAACAAGAAATCCCGGCCATGAGTTGAGAATTGGAGTTTGGCTATGTTTTTTAAGGCCCAGGCACCCCAAAAGAACTCCTGGTGGTGGGAGTAAACTGCAATGCCCCTATTAAAAATGCACTGACAACATTAAACAGATTAAGCCAGCTTAACCAAATGCCAGAGTAACAGTAAGCTGTAAAGAAGGAGGGGGTCAGACCTGCTTTCTCCAGGCCAGACACAAATGCACAGAGAAGCCCAGCTGGAGTGTCAAAACACAACTCAAGGACACTGCTGCACAGGGGCCAAAAAGCTGATACTCGGGAGCCCCTGGGATGACAGGAGGCAAGGAAAGAAAACGCACAAGTCTTAAAAACCAAAAAGGCCCAACAGCTGGGGAGCCTGGGCCTGACAGTGCTGCCCACTGGCCCTCCAGGCCTTGCCCTGGACCCAGACAGTCCCTCCCCCTCTAGGCAATGTCCTCCCCTACACATCACACAGCGCAGTTTAAAAAGCTTCTAATGCCAGTTCATAAACATCTTCATTTACTATTGGTGATTACATGTGAATAATATGTTTATACTGTTCTTTATGGAAAACAATTTCAACAAGTCAACTCCAAGAACACAATAGGCAACCCTTACCCTGAGCCCCTCAGCACCCTTCCCCAGACAGCAAGGAGCCCCCAGCTCTGTCCCAGGGCTGCCTAACGTCCCCTCCTTCCCCTCTGTGGCTCTTGGGCAAAGCATCCTCTGACCATTAGTCCTCATCGGACAAGTTCTGGTCCAGGGAGTAAACCATGAACATCACATCTGGCCGAGAGGGGACACAGGGATGGCCTGGACGTACAATCTCAAAGCCCAAGAAGCTGAAGGTCTTCAGGAGCGGAGCTGCAGAAGATAATGTAAAAAGGATTCTTACGGGAAATACAGGAGTAGGGTCAAATCAGGGGAAAACCCAAAACAGAAACAGAATACGAAAGTGCTAGGCCTTGACTAACAACCCTCCAGGCACTACCCCCAGGACCGCCCAGTTTTGTCAGGAAACTCAAGGGCCCCAGCTCACTGTATAGGATCCTCTTTTCCCCTCCTCAGACCCCATTTTCCAGGAAGTAGATGCCAGGCTGTTTTGACTCCTCACCTCTGTCTTCTCGGCCCTTCCTGAAGCAAATGAAAACGTAGTTTACTTTCATCTTCTCTTCAGCAAACTCTAGCAGTGCTAACAATCTGCAAGAAGGAAAGAAAACTTAGGCCCACCACCACCTCTCTAGACTTCCCACCCACCTGCTCCCAAAAACGTCTTTTCAGGCTAGCAGCCACATTATCAATAGAGAAACTTCAGGGAGGTTCCTATTTCAAGACCCCGAGAGCCCTGAGTTCAGAAAAGGACAAGCCATAATCTTCAAGAAAAATGTCGCTGAATGATCTTTTCCTGGAACAGTGGTTCTTCCTCTGAAATGAACACTGACCAACTTAACTAATGTAGTTCACAAGGCAGCACGGGGCCTAGGAAGGGAACCCAGGTTTTCGGGGGCCTTCCAAAGTTACCAAGTTGGAGGATGACTGCCTGCCACTGAGAGGAACTCGTGGGCCGTAACACTGCCAAAAAGGATGTCCTCAAGAGGCTGGAGCCACTCAAGAGGACTCCGTCCTCAAGACTTTCTCACACACCTGATTGCTTGGAAGGCCTTGCCCAACCCAGTGAAATCCCACCAGATCTGAGCTTCCTGGCCTTTTGAACTGCACCATTGTATGGTGGCTCAAGGATTTAATGTCTGCTGGGAAGAGTGAAACATGGGGTGATTCATCACAGGGATTTGGTTAATGTGATAATGACCTGCTTTAATGGTAACCTAGAGCAGGCCTGTTTTACTGGCTAAAAAATAACATGTTTCAAAATATATCTGCTTGGGAGGCCTGGTGCTAGGGAAGAATGCAGACCCTCTGCGCCTCTGTTCTCCCCAGAAGCATACGCCTTTCTCTGGAATGGGACCCCTTTCCCCATCTGCTCTTTCCCTTTCCCTAGCCCTTGCTCCTTACCCTTCTTTGCTCCCATCAGCTAATAATCCATCTGGGATTTCTACAAACAGGCTCTGGCTGGACAGGACTGCATCCCAGGAAGAGACCGTCACCTCGGTGACCTCATACTGGAAGTGGACGATGTGAGGTTTTCCATCATTCACAGGGAGGTCCTGGGTCACAGTGAGCTTCTCGTCCTGGGAGGAGATGTCGGCGGACTGTGTCACTCGGGCTTCTAGCCACATTGTAGGCTCCCTAACCTGGGTGGTGATGACGCGTCCCCTACGGTCATTCCCAGGGTAGCACAGGGTAGAGGGCACAATGAAAATGGAGAGCTGCATGCTGGCTAAATAGAACCAGCACTCATCGGGCACTAAGGCTAGTTGGCGCTAAAAGCCAGCGTGATGGGTAGGGAAATATTTACCAAGCGTCCACTAGAAGCCAAATATTGTGCGAGGTGCTTTCCCATTTTTCACTTACCACAAGCACCTGAGGTTGGCATTAGCACTACGTTTTGAATCTGAGATACTAGGGGCCCAGACAAGCAACTGACCCAAGGCTCCACAACTAGTAAACGTCACAGATGAGACTCAAACCAGGTATCCCTAACTCAAAGCCCATGCTTGTCCCCCAACACCATACTCTTTTCCTTCCATCTGAAAGAGAAACGTTAGAAACAATAAAGGTATGCGTGAGGCTTCGCTGGGGCCCAGATCAACCAGTCTGCTTCCAGGTGGGCTGCAGGGTCCATGTTGTGTC